CAGAAGCTTTTATTTCATTTGTTCTTTTCACACCGGTTAAAACAATTTATGACGGTCTATCCTAAAATTCAAAACATTTTAATGTTAAAGAACGAAAAACGGCTCAAAATCTTATGTTTTTCGTTGCAAATTTTTTCCTATTTTCCTATTTTTTCCTATGCCTAAAATAGGAAAATAGGAAATAGGAAAATGACCGGGAAATCAGGAAATTTCCCCCCTAAAATTTCCCGAGGATAAGGTCTAATTGTATCATATGATGTTTGATTCCTTGAATCTTTATTAAGTCATTAACAATATTAAAAGACTTCATATTCGTCTATTTAGTATCAAACATATAGAGAAAGCATTTACATAATTACGTTTCTCTTTATGCCATCATATTGATTTTAGGAAATATAATTAACACCACACGAATACAATTGTTTCAATTCAATTCAAAGCTTAGCTTAGATTTGCCTTTTTGGAAATTGTGGACTTCCTAAGGATTAATATAACGTTGTGTAATTTTCTGAATCTATTGAAATGCAGTAAAACTTCTAAATATTGCTTGATATAAAAATTCCTGTCTAAGTTTTTCGATGAACTACCTATTTCAATAAAACATTATTACACAATCTGTTCCATTGTCTTACTTATTTACTTATGTCACAACCAAGGAGATATTGAAAAGCTTGAAGCTATGAAAATATTTCCGAAGCAATACGCAATACTCTTTACATATTTTACGACGAAAGGAGCTTTAAGTTAACGAAGCCGCCAGTTTACACCCTACACTTACATACATATAGTATCGATACTTGCGTTACCTCGTCTCTTCTGTGAGAAATTTACTTTCACATGACTGATGTCAAATCAATCAAAATTGTTGAGATGGCAACGAAGACGAGAATCTTATTTATCTAAATTGGAAAAAAGGAAATTAATTTGTAAAATAAACCATAAAAAGATCTTATGTGAATAAAGAAGCGAGTAATTTGAATTTTTAAACACTCAATCTTCAAATCAATAGATGCCGTTAAAATAATGCGATGAACCTTCTAACTCACTCATAAATATTTTATTATACAAGCTTATTAGAAATTAGCAGCGATTCAATATAGTCTCTTGATGCAAAAAGTTTAATGACTTGTAACCAATTTAAACTTATTTCTATTAATCAACTTTGAATTGACTTATACATGAATGAAGCTTCAATTTATATTTTGCTTGTTTAGAATTTAAATTCAAAATATTCAATTTTCTGATTGAAATGATGAGAGAAAATTCACACATTATTCTTAAAATGTTCACCAAAAAGAAAGATTTACTTGAAAGAAAAAATAAAGTTTCTACTTGCAATAAGTTACTAGAAAGCAAAACGATGTTAAATGAAACGAAGACAAAAAGTTTTAATTTGTTTTTCCTTATATTCTTCCTGATTTCAACGAAAAAATGAAACGATAATAGATGTTAGAAATATAGATTCACCCTCCAATGAAAGCAAATACAAATATTGTAACTTTGGAAGATATTTTTACGCTTCCATGTTTAAATATTTTTAGTGTTTGCAAATTTATTCATTTCTTCAGTAACGTTTAATTTGTGTGTTTTTAACACGATTGTGTACATTATAACTTCCACTAATGACTAAGATGCTCAACTAAAAACTAGGCGTTCCGAAATCTTCGTATGTTCATACAAAATATCCGGATATCGTGATTTTACTTAAACTTAAAGAATTAATTAATTTTATTTCGCTTATTTATTTGTTTTCAAACTATTATGCGTAATTTATAATTATG